GCTAGCAGGTCCCGGACAAGGTCGGGTCATTGATAACCCAGGGTCCCTCACCGCAGCAGAATCCCACACACTAATGGCGCGTTTACTAATCCGTAATCAAATTGAGAGGAATTGGATTGAGGGGGAATTGGATTGAGGAAGAATTGAAATGAGGTGGAATCAGAATCAGATTCCTGTTGAAGTTGTTTACTAAAACTGTCAGGAATCGGAGTAGGAATGATGTTGAGTCCATATAAGTTGTTTACTAATTCATTTCAATCGGAATGAAAACTAGGTTGATTACTTTATTGCCCTTACATAAATAAATTATTTTCATACTAATTAATTTAATTAAATTCTTAATTAAATTTATATAATAAAATTCATCTATATAAGCATGTATAAATAGGTTTTATTTATTTATTAAAAGATGGCAAAAATGATATTGAATCTATATAAGTTGTTTACTAATTCACTTCAATCGGAATGAAAACTAAGTTGATGACTAAATTGCCCTTACATAAATAAATTATTTTCATACTAATTAATTAAATTAAATTCTTAATTAAATTTATATAATAAAATTATCTATATAAAAAAATATAAATAGGTTTTATTTATTTATTAAAAATGACATAATGAGTGTCAAATGAAGGGCAATGTTGGGATAATAAGAAACAAGTGAGGGCATAATTGGAATAAAAGATGCATTCCTGATTCCCTTGCCCTTAGGGAATTCAAATACCTCACAAAACTAGGGAATCCGGTTCCTCCAATTTCAGGAATTGGATTCCTTGTTTCGTGTGGGCTCCACCACTTTTTTGATTCCTTAATATTTAGTAAACACCGGAATACTCCGTAATCGGAATTCAATTCCCTTTCTTTATTCCGATTACCCTTACGTAAACATGCCATAAGGCCGGTATAAGGGAGAGGGATCCTCAATAGTACCTTACAAAAGGGGAGGGGGTCCTCCATTTGATGAAAAGAATTTTTGCCGGATCATTTTCATAAGGATCCTGTAATCGTGACCGTTCATCGTATATTGTGCGATTAGAAATTATTTTAAAATTTAAAATTTAAAATTAAATATAAATAGTACTTAACGAAAACTGACCGCATGATATACGATGAACGATCACGATTACGAGATTCCTAAGATCCTTAGGAAAAGAATGCGACGAAGATCCTTTTCCCCATTTGATATACATGAAACATCATCAACCCTTATCCTCCCATAACCCAAGTGGATAACAAATGCAACTTTTTATGTTAAAAATCAAATGACATGATTTATCAAATTTTATAAATAACGAGTTTGATATTAATTTATTTTTTTAATATAAATATATTCCAAATATAATAAAATAAATCAATGATGTTATCATGAAAATGAGTGCGTATAGAAAGTTAACATAGCCATGATACTTAACAATAAACTACTACGAGTAATCAGTGGTTAAAAATGAATTTTAAGTCCAAATTTCACACGACGTGTTTTTAGTTCGATTTCTAGCGCTAGCAAATAACACGATGGTGGTCAGAGGAAGCCTGAAATGCTTATATGAGTCTTCCAAACTCTTGAAATAATGAATTGTCGTTGCGAAGCCACTAGTTAGTCTCCTTTTACAAAACAAAAATGGTACTTTAACAATAGACTTGATTGATCTCGTACTTACTGTGCAATTTTCATTTGTTAATAATTTGAGAAAAAAATTTGCAGTATGATAGTTGATAATGTGGATGGACATGCTACTCTCACAAAAGAACGTATCCTCTTACATTTGAGTATCATCTAGCTCATGTAAGTACAACATTCAACTCACAAGCATGTGTAAGAGTGATACGATCAGCTACATGATCATATTGCCTTATCAAAAAAATTCTCATGCGTTTTAAAGATTTGTATTATAACTTTGGTGGAATTGATGGATATGTACTAACATATGCACAGTACAAAGCCATGATAAGATTTTGGACATTGTTCGTTGCAATGTGCACCATACACTCATAAGTCACACTATTTTTAAGAATACATGGTCAGCAGGTTCTAGAATTGTTTTATTATAATATCGAGCATAAGTACACTACTTTTCAGTCAAATTGCACAAATTAGTGATTCGAGCATAAACTTCATTACTTTATTAGTAGATTTACAACTTCGTAATAAACTAACCATAGATGGTGGTTTAGTGGTTGTGAACGAATTTTAGGTTTGTATTTTATATGGTACGTTATGAGTTTGATTATTGGCGTTAGTGAATAATATAATGATAGCCGGGAGAGTTTGAAATGTCTATGTATGTCTTTCTAGCCTTCGAAATAGTGGATTATCGTGGTGAAGCCACTAGCTGGTCTTTTTAAAAAAAATTCATGATAAAGTGCTTGCATAATATTTAATCAATTTTGTCTCTTGACAACTGATAATATTAGTTCAATAACAATCGCAAATGGGTAATGCTAGGAAAACTAAATTTGTAGACAAAATTTACAAACTAAATAATGTTTTATAAATAAAAATGAGCAGGTTTATCAACACTTAAGTAATAATCCAACCATCACTTTTCATGTCATTTAGTTTATAAAATTTTATTTGCAAATTTTGTCTTCCTACCATTACCCACGCAAACACAAATTTCCATTCTTTAAAACGGAACTTTATGTTTCTTAAAGTAAACCGAAATTTCAAAAGAATTATTTATAAAATAAAATATAAATAAAAATAAAAAAAATAAAAAAAACCCTATATAATTGGATGTGATTTGTGAAGCTCCATCAAATATGGGCCTTCCAAAAACGACAAGTCGTTATTGGACCCCACTATTGTATTTTGGACCGTCCAATGTGGCCTTCACAAACACTTTGCTTTTCTATCCTAAGTGGAGATTTAATTAATTTAACCCCAACACTAAACTTGATTAAAACCCCTTAACCATCAATTCTGCAGACGCTAATCTTCTGGTCATCATCATTAGGGAGTATTTTTGCTCACCATCATTTAATATGGTGTATGCTCACTATCCTATTTATCACCATTAGATATGTTTAAATTTCGAGATTCGTACAGTAGATAAGCACAAATCTCAAAATTCAAACTTATATAATGATGATAAATAAGATGGTGAGTATACATCATACTAAATGATGGTGAGCAAAAATACCCCCAACACAAAACAAAAAACATCCTTAACCATTTATTTACTTATTTTTAACTGAAGATATTATCTGCCGGTCATTGTCCATCCACGTGGCATGGAGGAAGACCCTGAAAGCGGGACCCGCCTGCTAGTGTAGAGGGAATACCGACGTGGATGGTTTGTAGCTTCGCATACGATAGCGCGTTCTTAACAATCACCCAACGAGATTATTTATTTATTATTTGTATACATGCCTATATTAACTAAATTGAGAATAAGTTGCTCATCTGAGTTAAAATATTTCTGTCGTAATTTAGATCAAACTTTTGCTTAAACAAAAAATTTAGATTAAATTAATTAAGGGGTAAATTATAATTTGCACACTAGAATTTAGTTGAATTGGAACTTCACACATCATTCTTTTATTTCTTTTTTAATTTATTGTTATTAAGAGAAGGATGAGGGTTTGAAACTATTATAATAATTTAAAATTCAGATGTGTGGATGAAAATCCAATACCCTATCCAGTAAGATATTAGCTGCAATGTCATATATATATTAAATTATTCATTAATTTGACCGTTAATTGATGATATCACAATCCAACATGTTTACTGCCATAGTCATCAATCCTGCAACCAATTTCATTTTCTCCTTCCCTCCCATTGCTTCGGTATCTCTATTTTCCTTCCTTCATGTGTCAATGATCAAGCTGTAATTTACCCTTTAAAAAATTGGTAATCCATTTCAAGTTGAACACTGCTATTTATTTATTTTAAATATTAGCAATTTGAATTATTACTTTCATATTTTGTTCAGGCTATTGTTCATTATCTACTTACTAAGGTTACAATTCACTACTACTTAAAATCTAAAAAAATCAATTGATGACTTCGTCACGACAATCAACTCTTTTGATAACCGAAAAAACTTACAGAGGCATTTCAACTTTCTTCTAACCACCATTGTGTGATTCACCAATACTAGAAAACAAAAATAAAAACGTGATGCATAGAATATGAACCTAAAATTCGTCCACAACCACTTAGCAATCATATCACACTAAAACAATTGTTTTTGGTCGAATTTCTATCAGGCACAAAAATAACTGGAATTGTTTACTACTTCATATCGATAAGTTAAAAAATTGCAGCGGCCTCATGCCTCATAGGTGTATTTGGTAATTAGCTCTTATGATTTTACATGAACATAAGAAATTGGTTTCCAATTTAACTCGGAGAAAGTAAGGATCAACACCTCCACACGTGTTGGCGGGAGCGTGTATAATGGAAGAATTACCCCATTGAAATTTTCCTATTTTTTAATGTTTCCTGAACCTGTTGCCATTTTTTAACAAGAACGGATTCTATCAAGAGCTAAGCAGCCAGAGCCTCCTCATCAAACAATTTGGACCGTATAAATTGAATCTAACGGTTTCTATTAATTCATTTTACTGGCTCACCACACACAACCGACGGCCCTGATTTGACTTGCACATCTATCAGTGGCCCATATTGCTTGATGAGGAGGCTCCGGCTGCTTAGCTCCAAAGAGGATCCGATCTCTTTTTTAACATCACCGTCATACATTTTCGAGTAGAATTCTCTCTTTTTTCAATTTTTGTCTTTTTCCCATCTTTCTCTTACCATTTTTTTTCTTCCTCTACAACGGTAATAATTAAATATTTATGTAACTTAATCGTGATCATTTAAACAAAAATAAATTTAAAAAACAAAACAAAAAGAGAAAATTCTACCGCATTTGAGAGGTTATCATAAAGAAATTGCGTACAAAATGACGCCCAAATTCAAATGAAATGAATTATTTGTTTGTGTGTGATTTTCTGGGGAATGCTATATATCTACTATATATATACATGTCAACCCCTCCAGTTCCCAGCTTATGCGTAAGCCTATAATATATTGAGGGCCGATAGAATTGTGAATTGGTTTCGTGGGGTCTCTCCTTTCCTCAATTGGGTCGCCGGAAATTCTCGATTCCGGGACCTGAATCCGATTGATTATGACATATGGCGAAGGGCCGGAAACTGACGCAGAGCCGCAGCGAACGGTTGCTCGGGACCTACAGCGGCTACAGCCACGCCCATGACTCGCCGGAGCTCGGCGAGGACGATGTCTGGTCGATGGTCAACAGCGTCGACGAGAGGGAGGACCACGAAACCGAGAACTCGCAGGGCGAATGGAGCCCACACGCCTTCCCGGAGAGCACCGTTGGTATTCAGGCGAGGAAGGGCCGCCATATTGCCAGAGACGACCGCAACGTGGGCGGGCTGTCATTGGCCTTTGACGATTCTGGCAAGACGGCGTCGTCGCCTCGGATCGTGCACCAGTTCCGCGGACACGACAGCGTGGCGTCCCCACGTGGGCACCACATGGCCACGTCAGCTCCGGTGAACGTGCCTGACTGGAGCAAAATTCTCCGGGTCGACTCGGTGGACTCGCTGTATGAAATGGGCGACGGGTTAGATGGCAATGACTCGGAGATGATTCCCCCACACGAGTACCTGGCGCGTGAGCACACGCGCGGCGCGACGTCGGTTTTCGAAGGCGTAGGGCGAACCTTGAAGGGCCGGGACATGAGGCGGGTCAGGGATGCAGTGTGGAGCCGGACCGGGTTTGATGGATAATTTGCGATGGATAGTGCTATCCACATAACGATTTTTACTTCTCACACACTTCTCTCAATTTTGGTTGTCAAATCGAATGAATTGAAGAAAATCGGTCAATAATCACCAAACATGTGTGAAAAGTAAAAATTAGTGTATAAATAGTACTACTTTTGTGATAGAAACTTAAGGAGGTTTAATTATTATGAAAAATTATTGATTTCAGATCTAGAGGAGTATAATTATTGTTGTGAATTGGTAAGTTTCGTTGGGCAATGATTCAGCTGAGTCTGATCTAGTCGGACTTAGCTGTGAGTGAGCCCAATTTGCCCAAAACATTGAATTTTTAATGTCGGAATTTAGACCCTTCTTGCTCTTTTTTCTAAGTAAAACAAAATTGGTACTCTCATTTTGCACTTCGAAGTATTTTGTTTTCGATAACGCTGTTTGAACACATAAATTAACATACATGTTAACATACACTGTCCAATAGAAATGAATCTCATCGTCGTATATCGAGTCCACATTTTAAAATGCCAATAAATATATCAATTTTGTGCAACTAAATAACATTACTCTAGTCTTATGAACCTAAGTTCTCAAAAATAGGATAATTACAAAAGAAGTCCTGATTATTTTTGTAAATTCCTTATTTCTTTTTCTATCAAAACATGTTTTCATGAAGAAAAAAAAATCCGACCTAAACATGTTTATTTTATTCCTTGAATTTTTTAACATCAATTGAGTTAAGAAGAAATAATATCATTGAGACCTTGTAATCATTTGACTAAAAGTTGCTCGATCAACGTTCAACTGTTTAAGATGCGGCCAATTACATATTTGTGTATAGAGAATCAAAGTTTGCACCATCTACACTTGCTAACTCACACCTATAAACCTTTCTTAAACTCTTAACAAAAACCTAATCTTAAGACTTAAACTATACTTTAGTAATTGATAAGTGTCTCCAACACTTGTACACCTAAACTATACTTTGTTAATTTCAACATCTTATTTACCCTTTTAAATGAAAATTGATTAAAATTAGGTATTGCTAATCAACATGATTAATTAACTTTAGATCAATGAATCACATGATACATTTCGACTCCTAATAATAACAAATCACATTATAATGAACAGAGAAAAGCTCGATGAATTTTCTTGGCTTTCCAAATAGTGACACCAGCTAATATCTTTTTTGAAAGAAAAGATCAATGATGTGTGGTTTGATTTCAGCCACAGATATATATACACATATATGTGTGTGTACACACACACACATATAGTTGAGCATAAGTGTGGGCCCCACTGATATCCAAAGCTTAGTGTTGAATCCAAAAATTCGGAAGTCGAGTCACTTATTAGGTAGTGTCGAGATTTTAATGGCGGGAAGACAAAGTAAAAGCAATGGCTCTCATTCCTTGCGAGTTGTGACTCCGTAGTTGCGTCCCTTTCTTGAAAAAGTTATGACCCATATGCCTTCATTTTATTTTTGGATCTAGATTTGATGGCTAATAATATTAATCCAATATCTTTACCTCCAACAATATTGTTACATATGTCGTTATGGCCACATGAAGTTATAAGAATATTTCATCTTTACTAGTCAGAATTTGAGTACTTTCTGTATCTCACATTAGTATATTTCTCGTTACGTGAGAATTCATAATTGAAGCCATTGACTAATTCATTAGTATTAGACTCTGAGTACATTTCTTTTAAAGACAAATCTATAATAAGGTACAAATCAATGGATAGTTTGCTGAAATACTCTTATTAACTTAATGTTTCTTCGTCCCAAAGTTATATTTGAATGGTGTTGGATGAATTGTTAATCCACAAATTTGGTAACTAAATTTGACAAAAAAAAATTAAAATTAAAATTAGTATCTAAGTTACTCTAATTGATTTTAATTTATTATATAAGGTATCTAGCCATAAATTGGTGGTAAATTGGTTTATCCCTCCTTGCAATTTTGATATCACATGAGACGACATCATACTTTTGATTTTCATGTTAAAAGGTAAGTCGAATCAGTTTCAATATCCCCCAAGAAATGCATATGTAAGTTTTCAAACTTGAATGGAGAATTCTAAACTTTTGCTCGTTTTTCACTAGACCACTGTGGATGCAAATTTCTTTCTCCTTGATCTTGGACAAAATTTCACCTACAAAACAATTAACACATTTGGTTAAGGTCAAAAGCCTTACGCACCCACGATGAATGGGGGGGGGAAGTTTTGGCCGAAGAACCTCTGATACCAAAGTTAGAATTTAGAGAGAAAATATTTGAGAATTTTAGAGAATTTTAGCAAGAGACTTGGAAGTAGTTTTTGGAGAGAATAGAGAGCTATTTATATGGATATGGCCGGCCCTATTAGGAGACACATTTGGTCAAGGCCAAAAGCCTCACGCACCCACGATGAATGGGGGGGGGGAAGTTTTGGCCGAAGAACCTCCGATACCAAAGTTAGAATTTAGAGAGAAAATATTTGAGAATTTTAGAGAATTTTAGCAAGAGACTTGGAAGTAGTTTTTGGAGAGAATAGAGAGCTATTTATATGGATATGGACAGCCCTATTAGGAGAATAGGGACCGGCTATTTGGGGTATTTTTTGGGTGTAATTTGTAATTAATTAGCCATTAATATATTAATTAGATAATAAATCCATTAATTGACTAATTAACATAATTTAAAAGAAATAACTTGGGAGTTATGGAATAATTATCTAATCAATTAGCTAATTAATAAAATAATTACCTAATTGATTAGCTAAAAAAAGGAAAATGGGGTAGAGAATATACGGGATGAAATAAGTTTTGGGAGTTACCTTGTATAAGGGATTTGATGAATGAAATAGGTTTTGAATTGTTACCTATTTTGGACAATTTTGACTTGGTTGAGGAATGATTGCCCTCTGCTTGCGTGTAGGAATCTCGATATGCCTCAGGGGTATTTTTATCCTCTTTTATCCAAAAATCCATGTATCGCTTTGTAATTATTTTTGGCTTCACAACCACCATTTTTTTTAAATGAATCTGTTGGTGGCTTCGTCGCTGTAGTTTACCCTTTCAAAAACCTGAAAGACTCACATAGATATTTCAACCTCCCCAATCTATGATTGTGCCATTCACAAGACAACCATCTTGGAGTTTCCAATTTACTTTGATATTGTTGAACCTCCTATAGCATAGGCAGACATTAAAATTAACTTTTGTTGATCTTGGACCTTGTCAACCAGGTTCACTAGGGCCGTATGTACCCATGTCCACAATCTATCGCCCTCCACTAAAAAGCATTTGGTTTTGCTCGTTGCTTGGAATGGACCTCACCTCATTTTTTGTCCATATTTTTATAATTTTGGACTGATTTTAATATCCATTTCCCGCAGTTATATTCCATGTCCATGTGCTTTGGTTTGTCAGGACTTTCTCTATCGGCGGTTTGTGCTTCCTTACATTCAGATTTGGCTTTTTTAGGTTTTAATTTTCAAATCAACGTGCATCTTGGTTTATAGATTTGTCACCTTTCATGATGTATGTTTTTTCTTTTTTCCTAACCTATTGTTGTTGGTGTTTTGCAACTTGTTTTGCAGGTTTAAACCTTTTAAATTTTCTTTGGAGGAGTTTAGGCTTTACGCCCCTCCCCTCTTTCTTGTATTTTTATTTGTTTTCTAGATCAAAGTACTGCTTATTCTTTCGCCTTGTATTATAAGAGGTAAGATTTATGTCCTTACTAATTAGGTGTAAGATTTTGTCCCCTCATAACTAGTGCAATTTCTTTTTTCTAATTCAATAAAATGTTCTTCGTACTTTTCTTAAAAGAAAATGATTTGTTATTTTTCTTTAAAAAAAAACAGAAAATACCAACAGTAACCCCTTAACATTAAAAATCTAATTTGAGGTGCAAAATAAAGCCCAATGCTCAGTGGTCTTACTAATTTGAGACAAGAGCCCTAATGGGTTATCTTGTAAGGCCTATAGTGAGAAAATCTTGGGGAAAAGCCCAAATCAGTCATTTAGACCGTCACCATGTTTCTTTTCCGTAACTATGCCACAATTTTACCGTCTCAACTTTTGGACTACTTTTGAATAATGATACGATATTTTAAAGTACCGAGATTTATAAATAAAATTTTAACTTGGTGTAAGAGAGGGAATAAACACATTGTTCTAGCTAATTGATTTAATCCATATATGCTTCTCTAGCAGACTTTTACGAGTAGCAAAAATATTTGCGAAGTCATTGATTTGGTTGTTTACAGAGATCATTTTCTAGCCCCAACCTCTCTCAAAAACATACTCCAAATGCCATTTGGTTAATCGAACTTTAAATGCGACAAATTCATATTAAATAACCTTACAAGTCTGATCACGTGACGCTCATATTAAAGATTCAAGAATTGAGGTCTAAGAAACTGTCACAAACCCCATGCTAATCAAAATCCAATTAGCAGTTCATCCATTAGTATACAATTTTTATGTTTCCCATTGAATTTTAGTTCCAAATTATATTATCCATCACACGTATTTGTGATTTTAGGTCAACTCTTATCCAACACATAAAACCACCTGGAATCCACACACCTGTATGGCTTGAGCAGGTAAATTCCACATGATTCTGTCCACTTTCAATTGACTTTTTTTGGCATTTGGTTTTTTGTCCTGGAATCATGGATGTATTAAAAAAAAAAAAAAACTAATGAAAAAAGTTTGAAAATTTTGAGTTATAACGATAATGATAAAATAAAAGGTGATTGATTTTTTGGTGTAAAAATATAATTTTTCCTTAAAGTGAACAATATCATGAGCTTTTCTTTCAAGTTCCCTTAAAAAAAAAAAAAAAAAACTTTAACGAAAAGTTTTCGTTATTGTTCACTTTAACGAAAAGCCACATTTTTACACTAAAAAATCAATTCTATACTATTCACTTTACCCTTTATTTTGTCCTTATCGTTAAAACTCAAAGTTTTCAAGCATTTTTCATTAGTTTTCCTTAAAAAAAAAAAAGTAGTTCTATTCACAAATCCATTTTTATTTGTCACATTTATTTTAATTTTTAGTCATTGAATCGAATGAATTGAAGAAGATCAATGACTAAAAATAGCATAGGTGTGTTAATAACATTATCCACAGTATATTGTTAATAAAGTGATGAGAAATTCACTATATTACAATTAAGTTCGAATCTCGTAAACGACGAGTTCAATACCAATTTATTTCTATCACAATTTATTTCTATCACATCTTAATGTAATGTATCGTTCTATTAATAAAAATAAACAAGTGATGAAAAAAAACATTAAACATAGCGGAACATAAACAAATAGAGGCAATAAAATACACAAGAGACGGTGAGGGGAAGAATAATTTAATTTTTTTATCGACATCGTTGCTTACTGCTTCCTTAAGAGTTTCGTAACTCAAATAGTTAAGGATAAGATTCATGAATTCGAGACCTTATGTTTGTATAAAAAAATATTTATCTGTATATCTGAAGTTTCTTTAGTTTCTATTCTCCTCCCTCGTTATCACTTGCACCAGAAGACAATTGTTTTCATAACTTGACATCTAATAAACCAAAAGTTAATAGTGACAGCACTCTAACTTATCAATTGTAATATTCTTTAATTATAGAAAAAATCTGGCATGCAATTGGGATATTTAGAACGATATTTTATAATTAAGAATTTGTCATGTTAATGGGTTCAAATTATAATTATGATTATTTTCCAAAAAATCAATGATACGATTACGAGCCTATCACACCAAAGAAAATACCAAGTGGGCCTAAAGCACTAATTTGCATGATAATTGGATATATAGTTTAAGACATTAGCCATTTAAGATATAGTAATTTACAATATGGGGCCTAAGATTTAATAATTATATTTACTCTCACTCATAAAAATTTGAAAATGACACATATTTACATAGAATTTAAACTTGGGAATTGGAGGTCCCAAGTTCCAATTTTTTTTTTTTTCATGCGGAAATTCTAAATTTCTATGTTCATGAATCTAAACAAGAGATTTGGTGCATGTCAATTTATAAATTCTAACTGTTGTCAAAATTTCAAGTTTATTTTTTTCATCCAAACATAATTAAAAATTTCCAGGAAAAATTCTAATTTTTTGTTGAACTAGCAAGTGAATAGTGTTAATCGAGACCGTCCTTTTCAATGCAAAATTTATATCTTCCTTTTCTCCTTGCTCGAAGATCCACCCTTGAATTTTATTTTTTAATTCTATATTTAACAAGTAAATAGTTACACTTTAAATTTAGAGAGCGATGGTTTATATGAAGATTTTTTTTACAACATTTGACACACCCCGACCGAGATCAAGGCATGCTGACCGTCACGTGAGAGTGACGTAACCATGTGCACAATACGGAAGCAATAATGATAGGAAATATACGAATAATTAAAAACCAAATTACTAAAGTGCATTACTAAACAAGAAGTGATAAGAGTTAGTTACAAAAGTAAGCACTCCTAATCAGAGCATAATAAGTCTATGTGTAGTCCAGTATGACAAGTACTAGTTATACAGTACCATGAATGTCCTACTATTATTTAGATAGGTCAAAACTGCTGACGTCCTCAAGCCACCCACATCAAGCTTACTTAAAACCAGGAGAGGCGCAAAACAGAAAACGTGAGTGGGCAAAAACAAATGTTTTACAAAGTCATTTCATTTATCAACATATCTAACTCCTCGCTGTAAAACATGTATAATTTTTCCCAGAATCAAGATATAAGCATATACATAAATATATATATATATATATATATATATATATATATATATATATATATATATATAGAGCTTAAGGGGAGGGATCCCCATTTTTTGAAAAAAATGGGGATTAGGTGTGGGGCCCACTTCACATCTAATTTCAACGATCCGAACCGTCTATTTTGTTAGTCTCGATTCATAGATCATCCTTGCAAAATATTAGCTAAATTGGAAATGTTTAAGACATCTAATTGGGTTCAAGGAAATGAACGAATACTTTGTTATATAAGAAAATATGAAATTTGATATTGATAATTAAATAGGCAAATGGTTTCGGATTGAATTGAATTTTTGCAATGATGATCTATGAATCGAGACTAACAAAATAAACGGTTCGGATCGTTGAAATTAGATGTGAAGCGGGCCCCACACCTAATCCCCATTTTTTTCAAAAAATGGGGATCCCTCCCCTTAAGCTCTCTGTATATATATATAATCATATCACTTCAAATCATGCTTCACTTAATCATAATCATATGTATGTATATATATATATATATATATATATATATATATATATATAATCATATCACTTCAAATCATGCTTCACTTAATCATAATCATATGTATGTCATGCCAAGATATAACAGAGTAAGCAATTCAGGTAAGAATAATTTCATAGAAATATCACATGTTAGCCGGAACCCCTGTAGTAGTCTGTACGGCTGAATTCATAACTCAAAAGTTACTCTAGCCGGAGTCACTACAATGACCTATACGGTAATATACTGCACAAGAGTCGGAACCAAACAAAAAGGTTTATACGACAATAATGGGTGTAATATAATCATGCTCAATACTATTCTCACATAATAGCTGGGCGATAAATCGCTAGTCACTTACGAGTCGGAACCATAATAAAGGTCTGTATGACAAGACTGTGCACCTAAATTGGATCTAATATGAGCATATGGTGCAGGAGGTGACATAATAAATAGGCATGTGCCATATTTATGACTAAATCACAATCACCCTAAGTCCAGTTTTATGAGCTCAACATTATTCAATCACATATCGCATCATTGATGATTCACATAACTAACACAAGTTACCTGAGCTTACCTGAGTGTTCACATCACCACAATTATATATATAAAGCATCACATACCAATTCATGTATGAATTATAAACTTATATGCATGGCATTTATGGCATACTATCATTTAAACACCTATTTCTGGGAAAATATCAAGTATATAATATATACTGAAAACTAAAAGCCCACTCATTGGTAAGTCAAAGGGTCGTAGCCCCTGAGTCGCCCTTGGATACGCTCGTCCTCGGGATAAGTCTCAACTATATGCGAATTAACTATAAAAACGTTATTTTAAAGCACATAGACAAAACTAGCTAATAACTTCTCATATATACCTCAAATTGGGTATATGAATATACCACAGTGACCTACACAACCTCAGGATCATCCCTAAATTTTTAGATTAATTTTTCAATGCCCCACGCGCCGGCGAGTGCACGGCAAAACGCGCCGGCCACGCGCGGTCACATGTAACCGAACAGCAACGGCGTTAGGAATATTCCGTTAAAACCCAACGGTAACCATCCAAACTAACTGATGGCGTTAGCATATTCCATCAAAATTGACGGAATATTCTTTTTTTTTTCTTCGATGAGTCGCCGGTCGCCGGCGACTTCGTCGATTTTTGGGTAAAACTTCTAACCGTCTATTCTCACTCATTTTTCAACCATTTTCTTCGAAATTTAAACCAAATGAAAGCTTAGAGTGAGAAAAATGGCGTTATACCTATTTGAAGCATCAAATATCACGAAATCATGTTGGGGAAGCTTCGAAATTCCGACCAAACCTGCAACTCGTCGTTTCTTGCAATCCCAATGTCCAAATTCTTCAAACGAACTACCCCGAGCCTCCTTGGGACCTCCTAAAGCTTCCTACAAGCTTAAAATCCCCTAATAATTGAAGAATAAAAGTTGCATGAACAATGCATGGAAATCAGACATTGTGGTTCTACGTGAAATCGAAGGTAATCTTACCTATATTTGGTACCTTTGAACTCGCGAGGACCTTAAGAACACAATGGTACCATTTTGTTTGAGAGGTCCTTGATGTTTGTCCGTACAAGAAGAAAGAGAGAGAGTGTGTGTGTGAAAGGGCACGGGAGAGAACAGAGAGAAAAAGGTATGTGTGTGTGGTCCTTACAAAGTCAACCAAACCACTTATACACTAACCTTTAATCCAAGTTCCAAATTTCCAAATTTAAACTAAGGTTAGTTCTTACTATAACCCTAGCATTCAAATTGGAACCAAAACACACAACACCGCGAAACGTTCAAGGGTAAAATTGTCATATCATATCATCGAAAATTAAATATTCGGGACGGGTTGTGACAATATTTCATAGAAATCATTTTTCTAAGAATAAATTATAGTATAGTTGTTAAACTAGCTAGTTCTCACGAACAAAAAACAGTCACATGCTGGTCCCTTTAGTTTTGCCCTTATTGATTGTCGCATTTGAAGACATGTTTTTCACACGTTTCTAGCGTCAACATTTTCAACGAATTCATTTATTGATCAGCAGAACTTTATTTGTGTTTATATTTGGATTTTGGAGCAATTTCGGATATCCCGACAAATCCACCACATCTTCAAATTTCCGGAAAGAAAAGCAACCAAATTTAATTTTACTTGGTATGGACTGCTGAATTTCAGCTCCCCGTCAACACGCAAATTTCAAACCTTTTCCATGTAGACGATGGCTATGGTTGCACCTTCGTCAATTACTATCTAATCTTGATCTGGGTTTTCGCTTAAATTCCTCAAAGATCTGATTTTTGGGTTTTCTTCGATTCAGCGTTTCGTCGTTACCCTTTTGTTTTTCGATTGAAATCCGCCACAAATATCCCAGAATCCTGATCGGAAAATGGGTTGCTGTAGCAGCAAAAAGAATGCTCCGAAACCCGGTTCAAATGGGTTTGGGTCATCCCAGCCTTATCAGCAGCAGCAAGCGGCGGCTCAGCCTCTGAAAGTCTCATCCCAACAACCCCACTACCCACCACCACCACCACCCAGACCACAGCCCCAGCAGAGGGCACAGGCTGCACAGCCGCCGCCCCAACCAAGAGCACAGCCCCAGCAGCCAAACCCTTCTCCAGTAAAACCAGCGCCGCCGCCGAATAGCATTCTCGGGAAGCCCTTTGACGACATTAAGCAGTACTACACACTCGGAAAAGAACTGGGCAGAGGCCAATTCGGCATCACATACTTGTGCACTGAGAACTCCACCGGCCACAGTTACGCCTGCAAGTCGATCCTGAAGCGAAAACTCGTGAGCAAAAACGACAGGGAAGACATCAAGAGAGAGATTCAGATTATGCAGCATTTGTCTGGGCAGCCAAACATTGTGGAGATCAAGGGAGCTTATGAGGACAAGTACTCTGTGCATTTGGTCATGGAGCTCTGCGCCGGTGGGGAGCTTTTCGATCGGATCATAGCGCAGGGACAGTATTCGGAGAGGGCTGCCGCTGCAATTCTGCGTGACATTGTGAATGTTGTGCACATTTGTCACTTCATGGGCGTGCTGCACCGCGATCTCAAGCCAGAGAATTTCTTGCTGTCTAGCAAGGATGCGAAGGCAATGCTGAAGGCAACGGATTTCGGGTTGTCTGTTTTCATTGAGGAAGGTGAGTGCATTGATTTTTATGATCTATGTTCATATTTCCTGTTACAAGTTGTAGAATTTTGAGCTTGAGCGTTCTGAGTTTGATTTTGTAATTCCCTATTTTTTGATATATGCCAAATGTGTTCTAAAAATACCAGTAATAGTTTACTACAAATTGTTATTCATCTAGTTTAGTTGCAGATGTTATAATGGCAAGAAGTTACATTGCGAACGGAAGGTTGTGTAGTTTACTGGGAACCGATAATATGATTGTTTATACATTGTAGTGAAGGTTTAAGTAGTAAGAGTGGTCAGCCTGCGCCATTTCCTACCTTATGCGGTGTAGCTAATCGAATTATGATGTTTATAAACTACTTTATTCCTTTGTAAAGCTTTCCGAAAAAATTCATTTTTTCATTTTATTGCTTCAGTTAAGTATATATAATCTGAAGTTTTAATCTAGTGGATACATTCTAATGTGTAGCTATACCTGCTTTGTCCTAATCTCAGGAAAGGTGTACCGTGATATAGTCGGCAGTGCTTACTATGTTGCTCCTGAAGTCTTGCGGCGTAGTTATGGAAAGGAAATAGATATTTGGAGTGCAGGGGTTATTCTGTATATCCTACTCAGTGGTGTACCTCCATTTTGGGCTGGTAAATATGAATTCAGTGTATTCTTGCTAAACATTCACTGTTCTCTTAGGTTGTAGTTATCTTATCATTATATCTCGCTCTTTATATTGCAGAAACTGAGAGGGGCATATTCAATGCCATATTGGAAGGAGTAATAGACTTTGATAGTCAACCATGGCCATCAATATCAGACAGTGCTAAAGATTTGGTTAGAAAGATGCTGACACAGGACCCAAGAAAGAGAATTACTTCTGCAGAAGTTCTTGGTATGTTACCTCTCAAATACTATTTTGGATGGATTGAAAGTTACAATGAAGCAACACATGCTGTATAAGATATAATTTCCGTCGATAATTTCTGTTTGTATGATTTATAGACCATTCTCCTCAAATGTGTTATAATCTCTTTTGAAACGACATCTTTTTCATTTGCCTATGAAATGACATGATAGAAATTAGGCCTTGTGCTGGCGGTCAAGGGATAATCCTATGTTTAGTTTTTTAGTAATCTGTTGCTTCCAAATCAACGAGCCAAATTTAGCAGTTAAATAGAAGCTGAAAGGATAAATATACAGCATTACAATAACCAACTTTTAGCCACACGGCCCTTGTTACCACCAGCTCTTGTTTTATGAGTGTGCTTTTGACTGATATTTAATATTCTGTATGCTCAGAGCACCCGTGGCTCAGAGTAGGCGGAGTAGCATCAGACAAGCCAATAGATAGTGCAGTTCTCTCTAGAATGAAGCAATTCAGGGCAATGAATAAGCTCAAGCAACTTGCTTTGAAGGTAATTTCAGGACTTTGTTCCGAAGCTCCTATATTTACCTAATATTGGCAAAGTTTCCAGAGAATTTCTTCTTACCATATTTGTCTTTTTCCCCTAATAATTTTTGTACATTTTGAAAATTTCCCCAGGTCATAGCAGAGAATCTATCGGAAGAAGAAATTAAAGGCCTTAAAACAATGTTCACCAATATGGACACTGACAACAGTGGTACAATAACTTACGAAGAACTGAAGACAGGTTTAGCGCGTATTGGGTCGCGGCTGTCTGAAACCGAAGTTAGGCAACTCATGGACGCTGTAAGTAACTATCAATTCCCCCGGAACTCAATTATGTTGCTTCTGGCTATTTTTTGATTTCCGTGTAACACATTTCAGGCTGATGTGGATGGAAATGGATCGATTGATTACATAGAATTTATATCTGCGACTATGCATAGACAAAGATTAGAAAGAGATGAGCATCTCTACAAAGCGTTCCAGTATTTTGACAAGGATAGCAGTGGGTGAGTTGACAAATTTTGTGCAATGCTTCTGTATACATATGTCGTACTGGATTTCTGTTTTTGATCAAGTGAAATTCAACTACTTGATCCTACTGGGGGGAAATAAATAACTTTGGATAAATTTCTTGTTATGATCGTGCTAGATGTGTGCTCAAACAACTTTCTGCTTATTGATTCATAAATTTAGTCTCAACTTGTGAACTTTTGCAAGCTGAAATTGATTCACCCTGTTTGTCAGGCATAAGTAGTTACGAATATATATATTAGCTTGTAATATCATAATTTACTAGGAAAGAAACTGTTTATTTCTTTTTATCATTCAGTCATAAAACGAATGTTAATGTAGTTCCTTCGTCAATTTCCACTAACAGGTATATTACAAGAGACGAATTAGAGGCTGCTATGAAGGAGTATGGAATGGGTGATGATAACACCATCAGAGAAATAATTTCTGAGGTTGATGCTGATAATGTAAGTTTACTTACGACTTTCAAATATCTGTAACTTTTTCTCAGTCGTGTTCTGCACTGATTTACTTTGAACCAAATAGGACGGGAAGATCAACTATTCAGAATTCTGTGCAATGATGAGAAGTGGGACTCAACAACCAGCAAAGCTCTTTTAATTCCACTAACAGGCATTTCAGAACTTACAAGCACAAGTGAATCGTTATGGATTTGAGCTGCTTAAGTGAGTTTAACTGTTGGGTAGTATGACTCGTGTGCTCGTATCAGAGCATTATTTCCGGGAGGTATGAAGTAAACCAGACTAATCTTGATCGAAAACGGGCAGTTTGAGCATGTGAAGCTAGAGTTTGGTGTTTGATTAATTAGGCTGTGTTTCTGTGCATCTATTTACTTGTTAGCTTATTTTTTTGAAGTTCTGTTCAATCTTGTTATGAACCTTTTCCTGAATATACGACGATTTTAATTAATTTAAAAAGATTTCGTTGTGATATAAATGCTGAACAAAAGTACTGCCGATGATAGGAGTTTTGCTCTGTATGCTATATTGATATCAATATTGCATCCAACTCAACTCAACCTCTCTTTTCATGCTATGTTCTTTCACTGTGATTTCTTCCACGAGGAGTTGTGTTACGGCCAGTCACCCACACGCCTTGAATTGACCACACACTAGAATGGTAAAATCTCTCTAGCTTCAGTTAAGTGCTCAATCAGTTTGGCGACGGAGATCGAATATGATTGAAGTTGATTCCATGCAATTTTATTAAAGTCTCATTCTTTGAGACGAGACTTAAAACCCAACATGTTAGACCAATGTCCAATTTAACAAGTTTAGTCCCAACATTTATAAGTTCACGGTATGATGGCTATGATAGTACCAAATATCTCAATTCTTAAACTTCAATTAATCCTTTTATTTTTGTGCACACTTTACCAGAAAAAAAAAACACAAAGTACATATACGAAGGAGAAGGAGTCCTTTGGAAGGACACCCACTTGACAGACACCCTTCAATCCCAGGAATCCCAGGATTTTTTATTAGAATGTACTATTTACTTGAAAATTAAAAGGGCAGTAATCAAGAGAGGTAAGTACTCATTATTGTAGGACTTTCCCTTCCCCACTCCAGCACTGCAGCACAGTTTCCATACAAACCCTGAAGAAACATTTCTTTATTTATAGCTACCATTTTGGGCGCCCACAGGTTTCTATCACATACACCTCGTATTTGTAGGGCATATCTCATAAAAACATATAATTCTTCCAAACTTAGGATCTCTGATACAGTGATAAATGCTATTACTCATTTGAATTACTTACTCTTTTGCTCCTTCAGCACCAAGACGACATTGTCATGAGATTATCGGTAACACTAAATTTTTTTATACAAGTGATATTATGAGAGCCAAACTAAATGCAGGACTTCGAATGCTGTGATAAACTCTTTTAAATTTTAATCAACTGAGTTACAAACTCCTTGTTGCATGAACACTAAATTAGGAAAGAGCAAATGAAGGTGCCCAAATCGAATGACAGGATTTTTGTTTAAAATTAGAAGGATGGTATCCAAGGTTTTTAGCCTTCATATTCCCTGACACAAATCGCATTTTCAAGGGGCTAAGCATTCCCACGTGAGGTTGCAAGATTCTATGATGCTGCCCACTTACGATATATATTATGTGCACGTGTGCAGTACAACCCCATCTTTTTTATACATCCACTTGGGACTCCCTAAGTCAAGACATACCTCAAATCAGCACTCCCTTGATTGCTAATTTTCATTAACTACAAAATTATAGAAATGATTAACTTAAACACGAAGATAAACCTGCCCCGGTTTGGATTAGGATTAATTAGTACTCCACGCTAACATGAAATGACACAAGAACACAACACGATACAACTCGATTTCCATCCTTATGTGCGCTTGTAGAATTTGTTCGGATTTAGGTTAAGAGTGTAATTAACATAGTCTACAAACTATGTATTATTTTTTATATGGTAATATAATATAGGAAAAGAGCATAGGATGCTCTCTAATCTAGCATTGCTGAAAAATTAATTAATTAATTCACAACTGTTTTATATGTTAGTACAATTTTGTTTATTAATTAATATTAATTCACAACTGTGAATTGTCACCAAATTGTGAGATTCAAAGCTCCTTTTTTATTTTATAAATAAATAAACAAAAGGTGAGGCCTTGTTGGATTCTTATTAATGAAATTTTATGGATTGTAATCAAACAATTTTCAAAAATGTAAACTTTCACATAAGAAAATAAACTGTTTTTTTTTTTTGTTTAAGAAAGGGGCTAATGGTATGATATAAGAGAAATTACAAAATAATGTTGCGAGGTCGATAGACTTCAAAAATATCATACAATAATAACTGCTTACAAGAAGATGAAGTTTGCTCAAAATAGATTGGACACAAAGCGTGAGAGAAGCTCAGTAACTCATCAGCAACACAATTTATCTCAAGATAAATATGCCGAATATTATATTCCCAATCATGCAATAACATCACACGATAATCATTTTGGCAAAGAAAAATGATCTCCACACTGCTCTTTTCTTTTGTATATGTGCTTGTTTATGTTATTTGGGTTTTCTTTGATTTATTCGGTCTAAACCCTACATAAAGAAGAAAATGGATGTGCGAGAATCGCTTTAATACTGAAGTCCAACGAGAGGGAGAGAGAGAGAGATGTGCACGTGCAGTTGCATGTCTGCCCCCTCGCCAGTCGCCGCTCTACTTTTCCAATTTAGAAAACTGAAACAAAAACCAAGCACAAAAATAGCCCTAATCTTGCTTAAATATGTTAAACTTAAATATGTTAAACTTTATCTCAAGATTTTCTTCCGGCAGGACGCATTTTCTCTGAGAATTCTTTAGATGGTATTTTCCATTTAATATGATATTCTTACTGGTGTTCAAAGATTATTACATATTTCATCATATTGGTGTTCGTCCTAATCAATGATGGAGCTTCACTCTTGTGCCCCTCTGGTCAATTCTTCTGCACTGTGCGTTATAGAGGAAGGGATGAGAGGAGAGAGTGTCAATGTCGTTGTTGCTGAGGTTTCGGCCGAACTCGAGAGGGAGCGAAAGAAGAATGCAGAGCTCATGGAGAGGATACTATTTCTTGAAGCTCAATTAAAAGAACGAGAGGCTAAGCAGCCTCCTCATCCAGCAGATGGACAAGTAAGACCTTGACTTTTTTGGTAGCTTCTTTGCTTTTCAACGAATAGCGTTGTAGCGATGTTTGAGACCGCTCTGAAAACGGCTAAAAGCACTTTTTTTTACAACTAAAAGCACTTACGGTTTTGAATGATCATGTTTATGCCAACCTCTTAACATTTGACTTCAGGGAAGTTCTTTGAATGCAATGATAAGAAGCTTCAAGAAGTTCAAGCGACAGAAGACAGAACTAGATAACAATGGAATCGAAGATGGAAATGTTATCCCAACCGAAATGGATTCGAAGAAGAAGCATCGCACGCAATGCTTGGCTCTTAAAGATCAAATTCTGGAAGACCGTCTAGTCAACTGGATGAGCATGGAGGAAACTCAGTTTTTGCATCTAGAAAAAGGAGATGGCGGCGATTCAGCTGACTGCGATGACTCTGATGATAGCGATGACGAAGATGATGATTACCGTGAAGAGAATTGTGTTAATAATGACTGTAAAGAAGGGGAAGTAGCTGATAATGTTTCGAGAATTTGTAGTGAGCTGAAATGTGAAGTTGTTGATAAGGGATTGGACGCGCAATGTGAGAACGTTTTCACAGGTGGGAACGAGCCAGTGATTTCAAATGCAAACCAAGAAACGAATGAACCACCTGATACAGGACCAGTTTGTGATGAGATGCAACTTCGAACCCAAAACAAGAAAAAACCTAGTGATTTTGGAAGTTACAAGGTGCCATCTGATACCCTTAATTTCAAGGAGTTTATTCGTGCAGGATCTGCAAGCACATCGCAACAGAAAAAACCTCCGAAGGTGGCATTCTGCCCGAAAGAAGTGAAGAGAATAATTGATTCAGAAGCCCTGCTGCAGAAAAATGCTCAATCCCACACAATAAGAAAGATCATAGTTTTTGCATCAATTGGAATAAGGCATGGTTGCGAAGATATCTACGAATTAGACATCAATCATTTTAGCATTTTAAGGAAGGGAGAGCCATACATGTCTACGAAAGATCCCGGGGTAAGGAAGTTAGTATTAGGATAAGTTTTGCATTTAAATAAGTTTTCGATCTTAATCTTTCTTTGTTCATCAGCAAAAAAGCAATTTAATTTTTGTTCCTTACCAGGAGCATGTTCTGTATGAGAATCCTGGTGTTCGGAGGAAGGTATTTTACCCGAATCAACAGAATCCGACATTATGTCCTGTTAAAATACTCGAAGAAGAGAAGGCTATGCGACCATCGGATTCTAGCTGCCCATCATGGCTATTTCTCTGCATAAAGTATGGCGGAAGAACACGAAATCTTCCCCAAAATGAGTAAGTATTATTGGAGAAATTAACTTTTAATTTACCGAGGTTTGCAGCTTAATTTAAAATTCTATCTGCATAAATGTGTTTCAGATATGTTAGGCAGCGTATGGGAAGAAACAAGCTGAAGTCTTTCGGGCCACTAATGTGTCGAATGGCAATGCTAGTTCATGTTCGCAGTGGGAGCTTCTTCTTCAAGGCCTTGGGCATCACTCTTCTTTTCATGGCTGGTTTTCCTGATGATCTTGTTCAACAAGAAACTAAATACCAGAGCTTAGACTTGCTTCAGAAATATTATAGGTATTTCAATCTAATATACTAGTAGGAAATGAATATTTCTGAAAAAAAGCTATTCGGATAGTTTTGTACCTCAATGTAATCTCTAATATAATTGAAGCACGACATGTTTTTCCTTGTAGGACGGATGAGGATGCTGAAGGGGAGGAGTTATTTCTTCCACATCCTATGACTAGTGACACTGTAAGATCAACTTCCCAGTTCATAAATCTGAGCACATCCTAGTTTCGATTTAACTTCCCAGTTCATATATCTGAGCACTTCCTAGTTTCGATTTAACATTGACAAATAAATTCGAGTTTCTGAAGACTGATCTTGTTTTCTCTCAGCAGGCCAGTCCAAGTTCTCAGCAGTTCGGTGGAAAATCTTGTTCAACAAAAACAAAGGAGAAAAAACCACCTCACTCGAATAGCAAGCCTCGCAATATACAGATATCTCCATTCCCACGGACTACACTTCTGAGCTCTGCGCCTTCTACACAATTTGGACTGGTAGGCCATCAGACTTCTATTCTTCACACTCAAGCAATGGCAACATTATCGTCTCATACGCCATTAGATGCTCAACCAATCTCAAACGCTGTAATTGCGAATGCTGGTACGAATATCTCATACTCTAGTCAAACACCGTATCACATTTTTCCCCCACAACCAGCTAACACCTTTGTGCCTATGGTATATTGGCCTCCCCCAAACA